TCTTGACACATATTTGCAGCCTTAGAACCACATGTGGCTTTTTCATAGGTACTCTATAGTTCTACAAAACCCCCAAATCCCCCATGAAAGGATTACATATTATTGGGGCCCACAGGATGCTGAGCATTTCTGTAGCTCTTTTCTTGGTTTATCATGATTACAATTTTGGCTCCACAGGTAGGTAACTATAACACATAACATCTAGCTTATCAAGTAGACATTTTAAAAGTCAGATGAAAAGAATGTTTTACTACTTTTCAAGCCTGTTAGGATGCACTTTTGGAATGCAGGGATGACTGTCCCCTGCCTGTGTGCCAGGCTCTCTGCTGGTCTGTCTGTGGAGGTAGGTGTCCTTGTCCCCATCAGCTTCCACGACTCTCTGGAGAGGCCTTACACCTTAGGCAAGGAAGGACAGGGGAAATAACCTCCAAAAAATTATTTTCTATCTAACCCTAAAAAAGAATGCATCCCATATTAAGTTACCGCTACTATTTACTGAATGCTTACCAAGTGCCAGGGAAAACTGCCAAGTACTTTGTATAATACAATAATGCAATGAAGACGCTGTTATTAATTGCCGCAGGAACTGACTCAAAGTTAAATAGTTTGCCCAAGGTGTGAAGCTATGAAGCTACTAAGTGGCAGAGTGAGGACGCAAATCCACATGTGGCTCTTAGACATGATGTTTTGTGCCTCTAATTAGCCATCACATAGTGTGGCAGATCACTCCTCTCTGCTCCCGGTGAAATTCCACTGAGAAGGGAAATGAAGACTCTCAGGATGCTTGGTGTCCCCCTTCTATTTTCTCATCAGCTGCTCAGTCTGCAGATTCAGACTGCTGGATAGTGCAGTCTTTTCCGGCACCTACTGAACTAGGTGCAGTGTAGATCTGGATTAAATTCGCCCTTTATGTCTTATTTTTCTCAAACATCAATAAGACAGTGTGCTCCATTACAGGAACTTTATTTATGATGGACTTCAGCCTTATAACAATGAATGTATGCTACCACAATCCATCTTACAATTCAGTCCCTACACCCTGCTTCTCATATTGTCATTGTCAGGGGGCATCCTGTCAATCCCAAAGGTTAACAAGTTCTTCATCCATACTGCAGGAAAACTTGCTTTAAACCAGTGGTTTCAACCTAGAGCTCCTTTTATGATTTTTCTTTCATGAATCTCAAGAATCGCTGCCACGTTAACATCCAACCAAGAGTGAATGCACTTTTTTTTTTCTGTTACTAAAGACAGAGGACATTAATTAATCCCTGGGTTCTGGGGTCCTCAGGTTTGATACTACTGCACACATAGCTACAGAAGAGTTGTGATCCAGTAGTTTTGATACTGATTTGTAATTTACTGCATTGACCAGAATAGTCTGAGTCAAACATTCTATTTATAGATTTCATGCACTATCAAGCCTTCCCGTCACTGCTCTCCAAAATGGCATCTTCCACAGAGGAAAACAAAAAAAAACCACCAAAAAAAGGCAGCTCTTGAAGACTGTCACTTGTAGAGTGTATCTGGGTAAATACTTTCGACATTATCAGCCAACAGCCAGAAAATTAAAATTATGGAATGAGGCCCACAATGTTACGAAATAGAGGATGTGTTTGGAACATATGAACCAATTAAGGATAACCCACTCAAGAGGAACTGTCAGGTCATTCTGATTTGAGGGCACTCTGCGCAATTTTAAAAAATGAAAATGTCACCACTCAGTGAGCTGGGCAGCTCCCCAGCTTGGGCTCATCTGCAACAATTTCTCTTCTGTGCCTGGAACCAGGAGCTGTTTACTCTTCCCTGGGATGTTCCAGTTAGCGGGGGAATAGCCTCTTATTGTTGGGAAAGGTAAGTGGCAGTGTTTTGTGTTTAAAGAAAAAAAAACCTTTGTATTTAACGATCTTTACAAAGGTACAGACTAGAGCATAATTCTAAGTAGCCACATCAAGTACAAAGTATATTAACAGGGCTAAACTGATCACTCCTCCACTGAGGATTTTCTGTTTGGCCCCATAGCCTAGTTTTCCATTTTAGGATATGGGTAGGACAGTGGTCAAGCATTAAACCAGATGATGCCGGAACTGCAGCACACTGCTGGAAACATAGCAAGAATTACTGTTGAAGGAGAAAGATTTTTATCTCATTTACAGAAACAAAGACTGTCAAAATCTGCTGGAGAAGGAGCACAGATATTTGCTGTAACTTAGGACCCTGAAGTAGGGAGTGAAGAATAGAGTAAGAAAAAAAAGGCACAGGCTGACATACACTGTAGTGGAGCCACTGTCCCTCTAGATATTAACATGACTGGGACACGGACTGTGGTAAAGCAGCGTTCATTTGCCAATTATCAGCTCTGCTTCCCTTTCTATGCCCCATCTTTTTCCCAGGACCCACCCCACTGTCACTATCCAAAGAAGTTTTATTTAATTCTGTGGGAGCACTTGAATTTATGCCCCATTAAAGTTCCCTTTTGAAAGCTACAAGCTGAAGCCACATCTAACGATTATGACGTTCTCCGGATCTCACGCACATCCTAAAACTGGAAAATTTGTTTCATGGTCACAGAACCAATAAAACACATGACTTCATTTGAAATGCCTAATTCTTAAAAAAAAGAAAATTAAGTAATTTCAGGTGTTTATAAAAAGTCTTTATGATTAGAGCATTCTATAAACACCGAATATGCTCTGAGAAGGTTCTCTTATGTCATAAGAAATTATGGCTTAGACTGGAGGCCCAAACCTTTTCTTCTGCTGTGAGATTTGTTTTAGTTTCAAATTTAACTCTAACATTTTTCTTTTAGTACCAGGGTCAAGATAGGGCCTCTTAATATTTGTGTTCTTACTCATCTTTCACTAGCCTCAGTGAAAACAATCACTGCCAGTTTCCTACCTCAAGACTTGGTTATGTAAATAACTGGGTGGGACCACCTTGGATGAGTCAATCAATCAGTCAACAAACAGGAGTCCCCGTTATGTGCCAGGTGGGACCAGAGTTCTGTAGGAAAAGCTCATGTGGTCACATTCCTATTGAAGAGAAGGCTCCAAGCTTCAAGCAACATCACACACACAGGTAAGTTGAGACATCCCTAAAAGTGTCCCCTCACCTTTTACCTGTTTTTTGGGGGAACACCATCTGACATGAATAAAAGAACCAAGGACTCTGACTCCACCAAGACTTCCCCCAAATATTCCACAACCCCTACTGGATAGGGGGATCTCTGGGCTTGTGCCTTAAGATCCCTGGTAGATCTTGTAAGGAGCAGGGGAAAGTAGAGACCTGCAGTTTCTGGGGAGTTGTTATGTCCTGGAATAAACAGCTGGAGGTAGGTCTTCTCTCAGGAAAGCTTTGCAGCAATGAGGGCTCTGCATGGACAGCTATGTATGACGCCTAGCACAAAGTGCTGCCTGGTGTCCAGAGCTGTCTGTGACCTGGTTCCAGCCTTGAAGACACCACTGCCCTTCATACTCCCTCTTCAACCCTATTCCACTCGCCCAGCAAAACTCTGCGTTTTCCCTCATCTGCCCTTGCCTTTGCTCAAGCCATTCTGTCTGGAACGCCCTTCTTTCTCACCTCTCTGCTCTTTCCATTCATGTATATACTCTCGGCTCATCTGAAATGTCATCTCCATGAAGGCTTCTCTTGCCCAACTAGAAGTTCTTTTCTCCTCTGAACTCCCCCCATACATGACCTATGTATACCTCCCACATTTTAACTTGTATAGTAGTCCTCTCTTTTCATCCGTTACCTTCCCTACAAAAGGGGAAGTTGCTAGAGTCCAGGGTCATGATTTCAGTGGTCACTGATGGTGATTCTTCTAGTATCTAGCCCATGGTTTTGATACGAGGCTCTACACAGCCCTGTGTTTCCAGAGAGGTGTCCTGAGACCACCTGGTGGGGGCAGAGTGGACAGGGCCAAGGGGAGACCCCGTCCCTCCAATCTGTCCTTCAGTCAGATGGGTTTTGATTGTAATTCTTCTATTTATTGTGATCTGTATTAGTTTTCCTTTTTTTTTCTTTTAAAGGATTCTGCTAGAGATAGAAAAAAAGGAAACCACTGCCACAGATACTGTCAAATAAATGAAAATTACACCCTATGCCTCAAGTGCTTTCTCCCTTCAGATATAATGAAATCCAATGATCAAAAATGAGTCGTGAAGGTTCAGAGTGCCTGTCAATCAATCAAAGAACATGGTCAAAACAGAGGGCTCTTTCTCCTGTCCCGTACGACCTTTTACATTAAAATCTGATAGACTCCTCCTCAGCTGAGTGAGTTACGTTTGAGGTGGTGAGCAAAACCGGGCTGGCACCTGGCTCTGCTGTGTGTGTGTATGTGTGGTGTGCACGTGAGCATCCCCATGATGCTTTGATCTCAATGTAACTGTGAGGAGAGAGTTACAAATGATGCTGATGTCTCTTGATCTCTCCTTCCCCCAAATAAATCCACTCCTCCTTCAGTCCGCATCAGCGGTAAGTGGCACTAATATCCACTCCGCTGCTCAGGCTACAAATCTCGGAGTTTCTCCTGATTTCTCTCTTTCCTTCACTACCCACATCCAATTTAATCAGTAAATACTGTTGGTTCCACCTCTGAAACATGATCTGAAGCAGCTCGTTTCTCCCTGTCATCTGCTGCTACCAACTCCTGTGGTTCAGGGTGTCATCATTTCATACCTGTTACCATATTCATCCCTCTTATCTGGTCTCCGCCTTCTGCTCTCCCCTCGCTGTTATCCGTTCTCTGGGCAGCATGTGTAAACCTCTCCTAATAAAAACTCTCCAAGAATTTCTCATCAAATGTAGAGTAAAACTCTAACTAACTGCCAAATGGTAAAAATAATCCAGCAAATATTTCTATTTCACTCCAAATTAAGCAAATTGCTCATTCTGATAATCTTCTATTGGGGAGTTTTCTTTAAGAAAGAAAATAAATTAGCAGATGACTGAGCAGAGAGACAGAAGGACCGGCACGTCACCCAAAACCAGAAAGGACTTACGGCTTCAGATTTGGGAGGCACTGGAGGTGGAGGTAGGGCAATCTCTGAAGACTTCATTGCTGCTCCCAGAGTTCCGGGGACAGGAAGGGGAGAAGGTGCACATTTGGACCGGACGGAACCTCGAAACTGATCACATCTGCTCTTCTCACTCAGGGAGCGAGTGAGAGGCGGATGGCTGGGCTTGCCTTCCTCCAGCCACAGCTCTTCATAAGGAAGTTCTGACTTCCCTGTGATGCCCACTGATTCTTCACTAGCTTCTGGGAAAAGGTAGTCGCTTCCACTATCACCCGAGTCCTGATAGGGCAGGATGTCATGAGGAAAGGGGGCCCACTCTCCCCCCAGGTCCCTGCAGCCGTGGAGGTTCACCTCACTGTTGCCATGGAGATTGTTGCCATACACACAGACGGAGAGCCGGTGGAAGGACTGGGTGAGCTCATCGCGAGCGTAGCTAAGGGAATTGGGCACATGGTTGTGGCCAGTGCACCGGCCCTTCTTGGGGCTCTTACAGTCCTCGTTCCAGTCGGTCTTCACATCGCGGACCGCCCGTGAATACTCATCGATGTCGAACTGTTCTTGGCAGATACCCAGCCAGTGATGGACCAGGGTTTCAGGCCATACTTCCCCCTTCACCAGGTGTTCTGGGAGGCTAAACTTGGGGACAGTCAAGTGCAAAGGGAAGTGCATGGGGAGGATCTTGTTGTTCCGCAGCACACAGCAAACCACCACTGTCTTGGTCTGGATGTTCACAAACTTGTAGCGGTGCCCCTCACGGATGAAGTGGAGGTCATACGGGTTCCTCGGTGGAGGGCTGGGCACGGTCACGTTCACGGGAAGTCTGGTTTTCTCCACAATGTTGCGGATGGTGTGCTCGCCCTCCTGCATCTGAAGTTCCAGGGGGCTTCGGGTGCTGAACCTGCCCTTGCACTGGAATGGGAGGCTGATGCTCTCGTTGGTCCGGTGATTCATGCAAATGAGGCACGGCATTTTGCCTTTTCCCAGCTTGCTGATGGAATTGAGCTTCCCAATCTTTTTGAAGATGGTGTTGAGTCGTGACTTCTCCTTGAAAGTCTTTGCATAAAGGATTTCTGCCTGGCCCATGAGAGTGAGTTCATCCCCCGTACAAAGGGTGATGTTGTAAACTTCGGTGTCTTCATTGCATTCACCTGAAGCAACCTACAATAGGATAAATCAAATTTTAGGGTAGTTGTCTTTAGTTTATTCACACAGAGAAGTAGTGAACATGCTATTAAGACACACAGGCATACACAAAGGAAAATGCTGTTTTATTTTAATACTGAATTTAGACAATCCATTTCTCCTGTAATATTTATGTGGTTAACAATAACAAGATGATGTTAGTTTAGACTTTTAAAAGCATTTTTTTTTTTTTTGAAGAAGAAGGTACCCTGTATTCATCTGTAACATTTTGGGAAATACAGAAGAAAAACACACAAAAAATAATACCCATGAACCTGATGCAGAGACAGCCATGGTTAATGGTTTGATAAACATCCTTCTAGTTTCTTTTCCTATGTATTCTACCATATGGATAATTATTTTGGGACATTAATATTATTGTATCATTTTCAGTTATAAAAATGCTTTCATGAATATCACTGTAGAAAATTCTTTTTAAACTATTAAAATTCTAATTTTTTACCTTTAAAAATTTGCTAATTTTATTAAATGTTCTAAAATTGGGACAAAGGATTTAAAAAGTGTCTTTTCTCCCCATTTTATTTATTATGAAAACTATTCATATTCATTGGAAGAAATATTAGAAAATACAGATATAAAAATGAACAGTTTCTACACAACTTGACCACTAAAGATAACCTGTTAACAATTTTATATCAACAGAAAGATAAGACGGCGGAGTAGAAGATGTGAACTCACTTCTCCTTACAAAAACAGCAAAGTCACAACTAACTGATGAACAACCATCGACAAAAGAACCAACCACTGGAATCTACCAAAAAAGATATTCTACATCCAAAGACAAAGAAGAAGCCACAATGAGATGGTAGGAGGGGGCACAACTGCAATAAAATCAAATCCCATACCTGCTGGGTGGGCAACCCACAAACTGGAAAATAATTGTACCACAGAAGTTCTCCCACAGGAGTGAAAGTTCTGAGCCCCATGTCAGGCTCCCCAGCCTGTGGGTCTGGCAACAGGAGGAGGAGCCCCTAAAGAATCTGGCTTTGAAGGCCAGCGGGGTTTGATCTCAGGAATTCCACAGGATTGGGGGAAACAGAGACTCCACTCTTGGAGGGTGCACACAAAGTCTCATGTGCATCAGGACCCAGGAAAAAAAGCAGTGACCTCATAAGAGCCTGGGCCAAATCTACCTGCTGTGGAGGGTCTCCTGCAGCAATGGGGGCAGCTTTGGCTCACTGTGGCGACAAAGACACTGGTGGCAGTAGTTCTGGGGAGTACTAGTTGGTGTGAGCCCTAGAGGAGGTGGCCATTTTCTCTCCAAGACCTGGACTCACTCAACAGCCTGTAGGCTCTAGTGCTGGGACACCTCAGGCCAAACAATCAACCGGGAGGGAACACAGCCCCATCCATCAAGAGACAGGCTGCTTAAAGTCTTCCTGAGCATACAGCTGCCCATTAAACATGCCCCTTGACACAGCCCTGCCCAACAGACAAACAAGACCCAGCTGCACCCACCAGTGGGGAGGAACCAGTCCCTCCCACCAGGAAGCCTGCACAAGACTCTTAGACAGCCTCATCCACCAGGGGGCAGACAGCAGAAGAACTACAACCCTGCAGCCTGCAGTAAGGAAACCACAATCATAGAAAGTTAGACAAAATGAGATGGCAGAGTATGTCCCAGATGAAGGAACAAGATAAAACCCTAGAGAACAACTAAGTGAAGTGGAGATAGGCAATCCACCCAAAAAAGAATTTAGAGCAATGACAGTAAAGATAATCCAAGATCTCAGAAAAAGAATGGAGGCACAGATTGAGAAGACAGAAGTAATGTTTAACAAAGACCTAGAAGAACTAAAGACCAAACAAACAGAGATGAACAGCCCAAAAACTGAAATGAAAAATACACTGGAAGCAATCATTAGCAGACTAACTGAGGCAGAAGAATGGATAAGTGAGCTGGAAGACAGAATGGTGGAAAATCACTGCTGCAGAACAGAATAAAGAAAAAAAAAAAAAAGAAATGAGGACAGCAAAAGAGACCTCTCAGACAACATTAAATGCACCAACAGTTGAATTATAGAGGTCCCAGAAGGAGAAGAGAGAGAGAAAAAACCTGAGAAAATATTTGAAGAGATAATAGCTGAAAACTTCCCTAACATGGGAAAGGAAACAGTCCACCCAGGTAGAGGAAGTGCTGAGAGTCCCAGGCAGGATAAACCCAAGGAGGAACATGCTGAGACACACAATAATCAAATTGACAAAAATTAAAGACAAAGAAAAAATACTAAAAGCAACAAGGGAAAAGCAACAAATAACATAGAAGGGAACTCCCATAAGGTTATCAGCTGATTTCTCAGCAGAAACTCTGCAGGCCAGAAGGGAGAGGCATGCTATATTTAAAGTAATGAAAAGGAAGAAACTACCACCAAGAATACTCTACCCAGCAAGGCTCTCATTCAGATTTGACAGAGAAATCAAAAGCTTTACAGACAAGAAAAAGCTTAAGAGAATTCAAATTCAGCACCACCAGACCAGCTCTGCAACAAATGCTAAAAGAACTTCTCTAGGCAGAAAAGGCCACAACTACAAAAAAGAAAATTATGAATGGAAAGGCTCAATGGTAAAGGCAAACATAAAGTAAAGGTAGGAAATCATCCACACACAAATATGATATCAAAACCAGCAATCATGGGGAACTTCCCTGGTGGCGCAGTGGACAAGACTCCATGCTCTCAATGCAGGGGGCCGGGTTCGATCTCTGGTCAGGGAACTAGATCCCACATGTGTGCTGCAACTAAGAGTTTGCATGCCACAACTAAGGAGCCCTTGTGCTGCAGCTAAGAAGCCCGCAAGCCGCAACTAAGGATCCTGTGAGCTGCAAGTAAGGAGCCCACGTGCTCCAACAAAGACCCGGAGCGACCAAGGTAATAAATAAATAAATATTAAAAAACCCCAGCAATCATGAGAAGAGGAGAGCATAATGCAGGATATTAGAAATGCATTTGAAATTAAAATACCAGCAACTTAAAACAATCTTATTTATATATAGGCTGCTATAACAAAAACTCATGGTAACAGCAAACCAAAAATCTACAATAGATACACACACAAAAAAGAATAAGGAATCCAAACACAACACTAAAGTTAGTCGTCAAATCACAAGAGAACAAAAGAGGAAGGGAAGAAAAAACACCTATACAAACAAATCAAAAACAATTGACAAAATGGCAGTAAGAACATACATATTGATAATTACCTTAAATGTAAATGGATTAAATGCTCCAACCAAAAGACACAGACTGGCTAAATGGATACAAAAACAAGACCCGTATATATGGTGTATACAAGAGACCCACTTCAGATCTAGGGACACACACAGACTGAAAGTGATGGGATGGAAAAAGGTATTCCACACAAATGGAAATCAAAAGAAAGCTGGAGTAGCAATACTCATATCAGACCAAACAGACTTTAAAATAAAGACTGTTATAAGAGACAAAGGAGGACACTACATAATGATCAAGGGAATCAATCCAAGAAGATATAACAACTATATATGCACCCAACATAGGAGCACCTCAATATATAAGGCAAATATTAACAGCCATAAAAGGAGTAATCGACAGTAATACATAGTGGAGGACTTTAACACCCTACTTTCATCAATGGACAGATCATCCAGACAGAAGATCAATAAGGAAACACAGGCCTTAAATGACACATTAGACTAGATGGACTTAATTGATATGTATAGAGCATTCCATCCAAAAGCAGCAGAATACAAATTCTTCTCAAGTGTACGTGGAACATTCTCCAGGACTAATCACATGCTGGGCCACAAAGTGAGTAAATTTAAGAAAATTGAAATCATATTAAGCGTCTTTTACGACCACAACACTATGAGATTAGAAATCAACTACAAGCAAAAGACTGTAAAAACACAAACAGATGGAGGCTAAACAATATGCTCCTAAACAACCAATGGATCACTGAAGAAATTAAAGAGGAAGTCAAAAATTACCTAAAGACAAATGAAAACAAAAGTGTGACGATCCAAAACATATGGGACTCAGCAAAAGCAGTTTTGAGAGGGAAGTTTACTGCAATATAATCTTACCTCAGGAAACAAGAAAAATCTCAAATAAATAATCTAAACTTACACCTAAAGCAACTAGAAAAATAAGAACAAACAAAACCCACAGTTAGTAGATGGAAAGAAATAAAGATCAGAGCAGAAATAAGGATGAAGAAAAAGCAGAAAAGATCAATGAAACTAAAAGCTGGTTCTTTGAAAAGATAAACAAAACTGATAAACCTTTAGCCACACTCATCAAGAAAAAAGGGGAGAGGACTCAAATCAATGAAATTAGATATGACAAAGGAGAAATCACAACTGACACCATAGAAATACAAAGGATCATGAAAGACTACCATATATGCCAATAAAATGGACAACCTACAGGAAATGGAGAAATTCTTTGAAAGGTACAATCTCCCAAGACTGAACCAGGAAGAAGTAGAAAATATGAACAGACCAATCAAGTACTCAAATTGAAACTGTGATTAAAGAACTCCCAACAAACAAAAGTCCAGGACCAGATGACTTCACAGGTAAATTCTATCAAACATTCAGAGAACACCTATCTTTCTGAAAGTATTACAAAAAATTTCAGAGGAAGGAACACGCCCAACTCATTCTGTGAGGCCACTATCACCCTGATACCAAAACCAGAAAAAGATACCACAAAAAAAGAAAATTACAGGCCAATATCACTGATGAACAGTCGCAAAAACACTCGGCAAAATACTAGCTAACTAAATCCAACAATACTCTTTTTTTTTGGGAGGCTTTCAGAACTGAAGTTTTTTTTTTTTTTTTTAAAATACATCTTTATTGGAGTATAATTGCTTCACAATGCTAATTTAGTTTCTGTTGTACAACAAAGTGAATCAGCCATGTGCATACATATATCCCCATATCCCCTCCCTCTTGAACCTCCCTCCCACCCTCT